CTCAAGCGGTCTGTGAAGGGAAGAGAATCTAATGATGATCTATATATGAAGAAATATCCAGGAATAGTATGCAAATGTAAACACTTCAAATAAAGGGGTCTTTGGCAAAAGCAAAAAATGAGTCTATTTTCTGTTAAAAAGATATGTCAAACTATTTTGCATGGCTGGCTGCTTAGCTAATGGTGAGGGATAAGACTTAACTACATTTCTGATAGTGTAGGCAGAAGGCAAGGTAAAGGTGCAATTTAAGAGATTAAGTGAATCAGAGAATCAGTAAATATCTGATTCACTTAGTCTCTAAGATGTAACTCTACCCTGTCTTCTGGCTGACTAATATTGCTACCACCTCTTTCTGATAACTTAGAACAGCTTTTATAGAAAACCTTACATTCTTACAGAATGATGCTAACATTATATAACACATTAATTCCTGCTATGGCTACAGATTTAACTGTTCTTATGAACAATCACACTAACAAAAATACAGGTCATACTACCCAAGCAAACTAATGTTTATACTCGCCTATTGTAAAGTTTCTCATAAAAGCTCTTGTTTGGCAGTGTTAAGTGAACATTTGGTAAAGTAAGTTCCAGTACATAATGAGAATTGCTGATTGCTTTTTCCTGAAATTCTGTCATCTCAGCTGCATCTCCTGGCATGACCATCTGCAAAACAAAAAAAAACCAAACCAAAAAAAAAAACCTGTCAAGCTGTTAAAGACTTGTTTGGACAGAAACTGTATATAAATCAGAAAGGTTATTCCATTTTATCTACAGTAAGTCCGTCACCTACAATAACATTTTTTTTACCTCTTCATTTTCAAACATGACCCTACGAGAAGAAAAAGGGGAAGGCTCTGGTCTTCTAAAATCACAGACATCCTTGAAAGAATGAGATCCTCCTTCCTCTTCCTCTTGAAAGTTGCCATCTCCCTCTTCTTCTTCTTCAGGTGCTATCCTTTCCAGAATGGAGTGTACAGCTAGTGGGTTTATCTTAAGCACAATCCTGATATTGAAAAGATCATGAAAAATGAAATGTTAGAAAAAATGCCAAGAAATATGTCTGTGCATTTTTGTGAATCAGCCTGAATGCGCATATATACAGGGTAATATATTGAAATACACATATTATTACATGCATCTAGGTACCATGATGCAAAATAAAATATGACACTGTAAACTTCCATCCAAAAAAAATGTGTCTGGCATAAAATCAAGGAGAAAGAGAACATTCAAAGTGCATGCTGAAATTGCTTCTTTAATTTATGTAGCTACATTTGTCAGGCCTTCATGGTATATCTACTACTAGCTTATACCCAAGTGAACATTAAGTGTTCTCATGTAATATGTAAGATAAATTGCACAGACACAAGTGTTTCAATATTAGCTCAAATTTTCTGGCTTTGCGCCAACAATTTAATACAGGGGTATCAAGCTCATCTACATATGGGACATCTGAGACCCACAGGCAGCACCATAGGCCAGATGAGAGTTCCATGGATATGGCCCATGGGCCATATCTTTGACACTCCTGGCTTAATGTGTATAAATCAATCTCCTATGTGACAGTTTTACTTTACTCCCTATATTTATCAATCACTTAAAGAAATAAGAGGATAAGGAAAATGATGACTAGGATACAAATGGATTAAATTTTTAAGCTTTTACATGACAGGCCACCCAAACTCTAAGAAAAGTCTATTTTATTAACCCCCCCCAACAAAAAAAACCCAAACCTCCTAAATGGATTTAAAAGCATACATCAGTAACTAGGGCTGTCAAGTGTCATGTATCTGGCCCTCATATCACTCATTTCCACAGCTGATGTGCACCCTTACACATCTGGCTGCACTGCAAGAAGGAAGCATATGCACCTTTTTGCTGCTTGGGGCTAATACATTACTTACTGAATATGAAGCCTCTCTGCCTTCACTCCCAATCCTCTCCATTCTGAATTCCAGCCAAGAGGAGGTGGCAGTGAAGTAACACCAGAATAAAGTGAAGAGTTGAAATACTGGCTCCAAGTTCCCTCATCAGTCAGCTGGTCTAATCACCACGCTGTTCTAGCCACCTAATTCATATCAGCTGCCTAGGCATTTAACATGCACTCCCCTCCCAGAAACCTAAGGGAAACCTTCCATGACATCCTAATAGCCATCTGGCCAGGCACAAGCAGGTACCCCAATTAAGAATACCAGGTACCTCAATTAAGAAAAAATAAATAGGAATAACAAAAAATTGGGTCCTCTCCCGATCAATAATATCTAAGCCTTTTAAGGCAAAGGAATGAAGCCATGAAAGACAAGCCATTAAACGGTTTTAGTGGAGGTAGAAAGGCTGACTGCACAGATGTTATTTGATTTCCTGATTGCTAAAAATTTAGAAACAATTGCAATCCCACCACCTAACATTCCCCCTGCCCTAAAATGACCCCTTTAGACTCTCACATTGCCACTTCCTTGGCCCAGCAGCCTCTCAGCTGTTTTCCTGTGTAAATTGTCCAATCACCTAGCTTCCCCCTCCAAAAAGGGAGAAGACAATTTATGATGTATTCATCATCTCAGAGGTCATAATCCACTAGTAAAGGTCTTATGTTTTTTCTGAATAAGGTTCCAATCAGTTATGGTGCTCAGTAGCAACACATTTTTACTGTTCTTGATGTGGTTAAGGCAAATATCACGTGGGCAGCTTGAACTGGTTTTAGAAGAAAAAAGCAACTAAAAACATTATGTTGAAAAATGAAAGGTATTGTTTTACCTAGGCCAGTCAAAGTTGTCAGAGGTTGTCAGATCTCCATCTATGCCACTGCATACTTGAAAAAATTTTACCAAAGATTCTGCTTTGTCTTCTTCAAACAAGCCTTAAGAGAAAAGTATATGGAAAGGTTAAATGTTGTCAGGTCAGAGTCTACTCACTCATCCACTAAAAAGCATCAGAGTCTGAATTATACTTAAGGTATCACTACACTATGTTACAAGTGTTAGAATTTTCCTCTACGAAACAGCAAATGATTGACAAAGTGCATCTCATCTCTAAACAAACTTACACCACGTAGAATTAGTCCCCACTAAAAGCAATAAAGTTCTCTGAGCATCTACTGATCCATTAAGCCACCAGTTATATGCTTTATTTTAGTCTTCTTTGGGGCTTTTTAGTAAGTGAGATGCTTACTGGAAAGTACTGCCTGTTTTTTTTCCTTAAGGATCATTTTGGAGTCTTACAATCTAGCAACTCAACCTATAATGTTCCTGAGTGGGAAACCAATTTGAAATGTCCAAGCAGTATGAAGGCCCCGTCTTACAGTTGTTTTGTAACAAGTTTTTAGAATTTATGCTCCCTGCTTACACCTTTCATTTTACAAAAGTCTTGAGAACCACAAAATTCTATCAACTAGATGGTTTCATTTTGGACATGTTCCATCCAGAAGTGAGCTACACTAGCTCTTTTCAAAGCTTAATCTGAAATGATAATTTTTCAGATTCAGACATTTTTTAGCTTTAAGTTTACTGATTTTTTTAATGAGATGAGACAAATGTTTTTGTCCAAACCAAACCAAGCTAAAACGTAGAATATTTGCTGCTCTCAATACACATTTGGGAAGTCCTGAACAATACTCTGCAACACCATAACATTTTCAGTGGTCACATCTTATTAGCCAGGCAGGTGGAAGGTAAGAAAGACTGGCACCCAAGAGACCAGCTGGTTCAGAGGCATGAATTTTCATAGTTGATAGCCTATTCCATCAGATTCTATGAATGGGCTCTCCAAGTTTTTAACCAACTTGTCCAAGTCCATGTACCCTTCAAGTTCATTCATAGCATTTGATGAAGTAGACCGTCATGCTGCTCTGAACCCCATCTAATTTGTAGCACTACAAAACAAAGTGCTACAGGCAGCTCAACCTTCAAAGTGCCCTGCTGGGAAATGCCACAAATGCATGACACTCTCTAGGCACAAGGTAAGAGGGGGCTACTCTCTAGCTTGTTCTCCAGGGAGCTTTAAGGGGCTCCCAAACTAGACAGGTTCACTGACAGGCTTGCAAGCCCTTTAAAGTTCCAGGCTCCTAAGCAGCCCCAGAACTGGCTGAAACGCAGGAACTCTTTAATGTTCCCAATTTTCTGGCAGTCTTCTCACCCCTGCTGGCAAGCAGGGTTGCCTACCTCATCCACCCACCTTATCCAGAGTGATGGGACTTTCTGCAAGGCTCCTGAGGCAGTACGGGCTGATCAGAGGTCTCTGCCCTGATCAGTCTCTGCTGCTGGCACTGGCACTGGAGGCAGAGGTGAAGGGACTTCCTGCAACTGGCAGCAGGAGCTGATGAGGGGTCAGGGTGAAAGGGGGGAAAAAAACCCCTCATCAGCCCTGTTGCTGCTTGCAGGGAGGACTTTGCTACATCTAACCAGGGCTGCATCTCCACACCCCAGTGGGTAGGAGAAGCAGTTCTGCCTGCTGCTCCACAGGACCCAAGGCTGGAGCACCAGAAAAGATCAAGGACACACGAGTAGCCGAGCACTGGGAAATGGCTCCATGGTGCTGGGCTGTTTGCATACCTGGAGAAGCGCAGGTTTCCCCCACTAGGTAGCCCCTGCCCCAGCAGTTCCACCCCTATTTTTCCAAAGCAGAAACACGGACAAAGCAGCTTAAAAGTGTCTCTGCCAGCTCATGCCAGGAGGGCTAGCAGGGAGCCAGCTGTTCTCCTTCTCTCCCCTCTCCAAGCTAGGAGGAGGCACAGCAGAGTACTGTGGGATTGCTGAGGGAAGAGCTACCAATCCCAATGCTAAATTTGTCCCAGCACAGCAAAGAAACTACTGTTTAAAGCAGGCACTTCTTTGTTGTGAATCTGCTCATTTTGTGGAAGATTGGCCATGCTTTTCCCAGGACAAATCCCTTTAATACTTCACATTTTACCGCTTGTGGGACATGCACAAATTTCCAATAACAGCAAATGAACATCTGAAGGGCCTATGGTACTCTACTTATGCCTGACTTCAGACTTACGTGACTAGCCACCTCACTACCTAATTAGCCAGAAAGCTTCTATTTTGCCTACAGGTCTCAGTATATTTCAGCTAGAACTCGAGGCCTTAATTATAAAATAAGAAGCAAGAAAAAGACACCATGCTTATTTGAAAATGTGATTCAGTTTTGTGTTTCCCTAAGACACCCACACTGATTTCTATTGGAGTTTATTACAGAAAATCAGAACTGCCCTCTCAAGGCAGGCAGAAATTCTGAATATATCGGTTCCCAAAAGATCTTTGTCTCAACTAAATGGCTGTTTTGCAATAAAAAAATATATATTTAGCACTAGCATGACAACCGTATTTCTTACCAGTTAGCTCCTTAAAGGTAAGCTCCAATTTAATTTGTTCTGGGGTTGAACCTCCTATAAACTCAGTCTTAAATTCCATATCTGTAAACTCAAGATGAAGAATCTCCTTCTGAAGTGATTTTCTAAACCATGGTCCTCTTTCCTGATCTGACCGTAGATCAGGTATTGGGAAGCGAACAGAAAGATCTAATGCTGGTGCTGTGACTTGGACTGAAATTCTATAGTTTGCAGGTGTACGAGAATCATCCAGAAAAACCTCAGTAAAGGCTTTATGCTAAAAGAAATAAAATGAAAAACAAATTTAACTAGAGATGTAGCTTTTAAAATAAAAGCTATAGAAGTCAAAAAAAAATCACAAGCCTCTTCACCTACTACTTTAAATGAAATATACAGAAACTGACTGCTAGAACTGATACTCTTAAGATTTTATACAGCTAGTTATAAAAATGAATTACCATTAAACAGTATAAAACTTTCGGGTCGTAAATATATAGGTAAGGAATTTGAAACAGAGCAATTCCCTCGATTCATTCACTGCTGCTTTTTGCTCCATCTTAAAGTCAATTTTGGAGAATATTTTTTTACAGCAATAACTAGCTTCATTTCATATGGAGTGATGGCAGTATAATTAACTAACTGCATGCATCCCACATTATGTCTTTTTCAAAACCAATTTGCCCACTAAACCCAATTACGTAGAAGATATCGTTAGCCCATCTGGCAGTCTACTGATAACCTTGAACAGAGACAAACAAGCTTTTCTAATTTGTTACTCCCTCTAGGGAGATGATGATTATTACTATTATTCTTTCAGTCAAGCAGTGATTTGGATTACGATAGTACACAAAAGATTATCAATTCAGATTAGGGCTGATAAGCACCCAGAACAACTCAAATTACTCAATGATTTTCTGGAAAGATAACACGTTAAAGACTTAAAATTCCATCTCACTCTGTAGCTAGATATCAATATAGATGTGCTGTTATGAAGCTAATTCCATCTTTGCATTTTCCACTTGCAACTGCCAAGTACAACCAGAAAGCACACAAATAAGTGACACTGTTTACTCACCAGACTAATGTGTTTGTTGTAAGAAGCGTACATGTGAGATGCCATCATCTCCACCGTGGTCAGTTTCTGTGGCTGAAGCAAAGAATTTAGTCTGTCCACAATACTGATGTCCAGTTCACAGAACACTGGATTCAATTTGACTTGCAATTCTGCTTTCTGTGGAACAGAGCTCAGTCTCCCTTGACTACCCTAAAAAAATACACTCTCAACATTATAAAATAAAAACCTAAAAAGCCAATACTAAGGATTTTTGCAAACAACTTTCTGTGCAAACTACTAATATTAAACAGCTGTTATATCTTTAGAGGAAAGATAGTACAGCAGAGCATAAATACAACACTTCAAAGTCATTTTTTATTTCCAAACTTACCTGAGGCCCTCTATTATCTGAGTGTTTATAATGGAGCTGAAGGCATGAAGTAGGATGTGAATCATTTTCTCTCTCAGAATGAAATGTTAGCAGCTTCAAAATAAAAAAGAACATAGTTAAAAGTAATTAAAAGATCTTTTTCCTTTAAAAAAAAAAAAAAGAAAGAAACCCCAAGAATAGGAATGGGCAAATTCTACTTAAAAGCAAGAGAAGAAACCCCACAGCCAGCCGAACCATATGGCCCCGACACAAGCTGCAAGCCAATCCAGAGTTCAGCTACTTGTTTGATGGCTACAGATCCAATAATTACAAGTTTCGATTTTGGTATTATTTAGAGCCTTGAACCTCACATTTGAGGTTACAAAAATGGGTGTACTCAACTATCAAAACAACAGCAGAGAGCAGAGGGAATACTCCATCTGAATGACAGCCACTAGGATTACGATCAGAAATACTATATTATGGCTCACCTCAGTCTGTGAAAGCGTGAGGTGGAATCAAGTTAAATGTCACTTAAGCAAATCTATTTGATGCTTAACTGGCTGATGCATTAGGCAGCACTGTTTGTGAAATTTTTTCAACCCAATTTCCCCAACTATTTTTTTTTATTTCACATTTCTGTTATATTAGATGAGCTCTTTGGTGACAGAATATGAAACCATCTTGATTCACGAGCAGAGCTTTCAATTAAAACATAAACCGAATTTTAAAACCAGAGAGTCAATTTTAAAACCCCAGAGGCATTATACACACACAAAAAATCATTTAGCAATTGGAATCCTTCCAAATATAAGACAAGGACTGTATCCTTGAAAACATCTCTACTTAGTTATTTCAGTCACTCAAGTGTGCTTAGTTAAGATCAGGTAACTTTAATTACCTCTGTATAATGAGGTTGAACGGAATGGGTATCAGTAGAGAAAAGGCATTCCAAAAGTTCCATTTGCCCAATGGATAAATCTGTACTGCAACATCGAGATGCAGACCTCTGTCTCTGTTCATAAGACACTTTGATGCCACTACCTATAAATCTGTTATCGAAAATGAAAGTATAAAAAAAAATAAAAATAAATATATATATATATATATATAGAAAAAATAAAAATATGGATAACTACAATAACTTTGATCATTCGTAAACAGTTGATATAACTCAAAGAAATACAAGGATGACTATAAACAGTTCTGGCATTAACGTAAAATATTGGAATCCACCTACTCTGTTGTTTGGTCTTCTTTAGTGCTAAATACCTAAAGCTTAGAGTGAAAAATAAAATCCTTATTTTTTATTGCCAAGCCGTGATATAAGAGTACTGTGTCAAAGAAAAATTGCTTCCTAGCCTTTTGCAAATATTGTTCAAATTTCTTCCTTGCCCTATTATCACATTTTGCATAAATGTGAAACCACATTACAAATAACAAACCTCCAAATCACTTTTGTAATGAGTGTATTCCCGTAAAGTGCAATTGTTTCTAAGGAACAAAATATTTGAAACATCTTGATTTATTCCTCTGCACCATGTAGATTTGGTTTCATAACTTGTTCCTTGCTTGATCCACCTTGCCTGAAAAGACATCTGAGTTATGCACACAGTTCTCTCTTTCTGGTATTCTGAATTTTGGATCTCATACTGTCCATGACTATTTTAAAATCTAATAAAAAAGAATATACTCATTACACTTCAAGTATTAATGGAAATAAGTTATCAAAGCTTAGTCAAAGAATATTTAGTTCTTTGTTTGCTCTATTAATTAATAAATAAAGTTGTACCTAAGGTGGTCATGAGAACAAGCCTCTGCAAACACTTCCCGGAAGGACATAAAATCTTCTGTTGAAAACTTAACTGGATCAATCTTTTCTATTCGGGTAAAGAAATCCGATGCCATTGGTGTCAAGGGGTTAATGTTCAGTGAAGTTTCAGGTGGCGGTAGAGGGTCAATATGAAGTACAGATACTGAGAAAGTCCCCACAGCCAATCTAAAAAGCAGCTCGGGTCTGGATTCATCCACTGAAACAGATCGAGATGGAATGGCTGAAACAAAATTAAGTTAAATTTGTCACTGAAAGCTATTTGTCAATAACAGCAAATACATGTAAAACATTTACCAAAACATGGAAGTCTTCAGTACTATACAAACAGTGAAACACAGCTAACATACAAATCAGAATAAAAAGCAAATGTATCCTACAGACCAGATCCAATTCCACCTATTATGCACCTAAGTATACTTAGACCCTTAAGTATGAACCTATTCCATCTCGTTTGAGTCCCTCAAAAACTGTTAATGCACATACTCTTGTAACGCACCATGATCTTAACCTTAAGACTAAGTCACAAAAAGCAACAGAGGAAGATGGAGCCACCCACCTTTCAGTTAGTTAGGGACTCAAGGAAGGTGGAACAGGATTGCACATAGACACCTACATCCAATTAGGCACCCAATGGATGGAATAGAATCTGGGCCTTCGCAATAAGCTGAGCCTCTATTTAAATACAGGAAATTAACACTTTTTTTTGCTGAAATTAGCCTGCTTTATCTCATTGGTAAATTTGGCCAACTCTCCCAAACAACTCATTTCTGGTCTAACTCACTTCTGAGAAGAGAGACTGTAGGTACTTTTGTGATAAATTCCAGCACCTGCATATATTTCTAAAACATACTAAAGAGAGAAAAACAATACATTCTGAGGAACCAAAAGAAGAAAAGGACAGATGACATTTTAGCCCTCTTAATTTTTATGTCTTCATATCAAATTTCAAAACAATCAATAAAATAACTCCATCTAGTGTTACAAGGTGACTAGGAAACAAAGCATGCGTTTTACTTACAAGTCCTTCTTAAGGGTGGTTGGTGAACTATATTGGGTGTAAGTGATGAACCTCTTGGTGGTGGTGGCTCTTGTTTATTCTGATCAAGAAAATCACCCCAAGTTGGCTGAAGCTAAAATGAAAGATAATTAATCTGATACTTTCATAACACAAGAGCTCACAAGCATCAGTCTAACACAAACAGCAACAGAAAAACAAAGAAAAAATACATCTATACTACCAACAGCAGCTTTCCGGCATGGTACTTTCATGGTACATTAAACTACAGCATGCCTAGATTACATATCTGGTGTCAAACTATGTTCTTGAGTTCTATCATGATCGCACACTTCTATTTTTGAAAGCGGAATAAAAGTTTCCATCCGAGCAGGCTTATGTTCTGTTAACCTAGGGAAACCAGAACTGCCTTCTCTGGCTCCTATTCAGCAATTAACTTAAGCATGCACTTAATGACTAAACAGAGGTGATCTTAGCTGCAATAATTTTTTGCTGGGTTACGGGTTAATTTACACAATATCACATTTTGTGCATTTTTATTTGATCCCTGGTCATGTAATCTATATTAAAAAACCTAAATGTGAAGCTAGGAGGATATGGGTATTACAAGGGTCTGTTACTAATAAAGGATATAACAAAGCTGTAAGAAATAAAGGATACATTCTATTTTTGGATCTGTTAACCCCATCAAAAATCAACATGCTGAGAGTTACTTAGCATCTTTATTCCTTTATGCAAGCTAGGGTGTGATGCTGGCCATGTCTATGCAGTGAGAGAAGCCATGCTGGCTCTGCACACACTGGCTAGGGACAGAAATTACACATAAAACAGTATAAGTGACTGGAAACCAGTTCAAATCTGTAACACAACAGAAGTTCAGTGCATATAAACCACTTTCAAAGTGTCCAAAACCTGTTTAAGATAAGCCTAGATGGATGTAGCATCAGATTTAACTGCTAAAGGTTAAATCAGTTTACTGAACTTCTGTCCCAGAGCCCCTCCAGATTCAAGTTAACTTACAGTCCCCCAGCATCCCAGGATGCTTTGCACCACCCCCACAACCATCACCCCCGTCCCTCTTGCAGGGTGGGCTGGCTAGCCTTGACCCAAGCTGTCTGCCCCAGCAGAGCAAAGAGGCATGCTCTAGTGCCCCTCAGACTCAGGCTTGAGCCACTGCAGGCATGTGGCTACATTTCTGGAATTAAAAGTGAATGTCTTTTCACTTGCTTACTGGTTCAACCTACACAGCTTAGATTAACCTGCGAAGACAATGAATTCAGCTTCAGGCTTTTTGACTGACTGTACTTAGGCACTAGCTCCTGAACCAGAAACAGTATAGCTGCCCAAGTGCATTACTGAGGGTGGGCTAATAGGCTTCACTTCTACATAGTCTCCCAGCTCAGAAGCTAGCATGGACAGAGCTGCTTGCTCCGTAGACACGTGCTCTGTGTCAATAAATGCATACAAATTTGCAAGATATTGCAATTGGAGAATGCTGTGTGCATGATTTAGTTCATATTTTCTAAGAATTTTGCAGTAAGATTTAAATAGGAAAGAAAATATACAATATGATTAAGTTGAAAAAAACATTACTCTGGAAAAATATTAATGGTTAATACTATACCACAGTAGCACTCAGAGGAGATCCTGCTGGGGTAGTAGTGTATGTACTAGTTAAAGACAGGTCTAGATCCATAGTTGGTGGGTCTCCGAGAGGGGGAAGAGAGGAAAGGCTATGAGACATGTCCATATCAGCCATTGAGAAGAAAACTTCTTCTTCTAAGGGGAAATTTAAATACAATCAATTATATGCTCTTTTAATAATGAACATTATTTCTAGTTATCATATGTAAAATTAAATAATTGCAGAAACAAATTAAACTAGACAAGAGATCAACTAATGTACTATTTACATTTCATAAACAGACTATCTTCCTGGGGCCTAAGTATAGAATCATAGGAAATAAGGGTTGGAAGGAACTTTAGGAGGTCATCTAGTTCAACCCCCTGGTTTTTCTCTCTCTCTCTCTCTCTCTCTCTCTCTCTCTCTCTCTCTCTCTCTCACACACACACACACACACACACACACAGCTTCCAGAAAGGGTGCATGATCAAGCCAGTATGAAAAATCTAATTGTGGCAATGTGCTAAGTATGCATAAAATATAAAATGTCTGCATTTTTTCAAATATAAAATGTCTGCATTTGTCTGCTCTGGTTAATAAAGTCTCATGTTGAATCAAATATAAATTAGCACCTACAAAATCAGCAGTTAAATTCCCTGATTTGATATTATAATAAATGATAGATCATACAAAGTTTTATATGAAGTTCTATGTTATGTCCTAGGGCTGTGTGAAATTTCAGCAGCTGTTTTGTTTCAGAGGTGTTTCGGGCCATTTTGGCACCTGAAACACTGAACCCTAATCAAAACAGAAGGCTCTGAAACATCGCCAAAACGAAATGAGGCATCTGAAACGTTTCGGAAAATTTCGGCATTGGGCTTGCAGGGAAACAGCTGTACGCTGCTGCCCTGCCGTGCGACTCTGCTCCACAGGGAGCAGAGATTCACGCCAGGGGGGCTCCTTGCCGTCACTGCCCGCCCCACACTGCCCTGATGACATGGGGCTGCACAGGGTGGGCAGCAGCGGCAAGGAGACCCCAGGAGCAGAGGTCTGTGCCTGCGGAGCCAGGTCATGCAGCAGGGCAGTGCTGGCCCCTGCCATGTGACCTGGCTCCGCAGAGAGCCAAGATCCGGGGTAGCGTGGGGCAGGTAATGGTGATGAGACCCCAGCGCGGATCTCTGCTCCCTGTGGAGCCAGATCATGTGGCAGGGCAGTGCTAGTCCCTATCATGCGACCTGGCTCTGCAGGGAGCAGAGGTCCGGGGCAACATGGGGCGTGCGGCGGTGGCAAGGAGACTCCTGCCAGAGATTTCTGCTCCCTGAGGAGCCCAGTTGTGTAGCAGGGACTAGCAGGCTTGCTTGCCGTTCTGCGCTGCTTCCCTGCCCCACGATCCTGCATGACAGGCATCAGAGATCTGTGCAGGGGTCTCCTCGCCTGCACAGAGAGCAGCGGCCCTCCCCCAGACGAGCTACCCACAACCCCATCCTGCTCCCCGCTGGGGCTCTGCAGCCCCTGGCCCCAAGTCCCGCCAGGCTGGGCAGTAGGGCTGTACAAAACTCACAGCCCATTTGAAACAGATCTGGAACAGATTCGGGCGAAACGAAACAGGACAGTGATCCAATACACCAAAATGAATCATTGCCCTCCAAAACGGCTGAATCAAAAAGCAAATCACACAGCCCTATTATGTTCCCCTTCCCAAAAGGTCAGTGTGCTTTAGTACTGGACATTCAAAATTATTTTGAATAATGTTGCCTAGTATGGAAGACAGCCTAGTCGACAACTCACCACGGCTAGAAGGCGTTCTGGCCGTCTCTGTCTCATAAAAGCTCTGCTCAGATGATGCTCCTGCTGATAAAGAGTCTTTTCGCAAGTAACGCTTCAATTCCATCTGAATCCGATACTCATCTTCCTGTTGCATTGGTCTGTTCTTCCTATCTTTATTTGACAATTCTATCCTACTGGGGCTCTCTGAATTCAAAGAGAATATATGGAGAAATAATTTCTAATTTTCTTCCAAACTTCCAACAGAAAACTTCAACAAAATAGTGAGACAGTTACCATATTTTCATAAGAAATTACTCCAATTCCCAGCCCCAATTAATGAAAAGAATGAAATAATATTTCCACCATTCTTCCAAGAGTTCAAATTATGAACAAAACCGATACAGTAATTAGATTTCCAGGAGTGGGAATATAGCTAGCTATACACCTGATGATGTAAAATGAGTTTAATTTTTGTTAAAAAAGGATTGTACATTATGTGAATAATGAAAGCTTCCACTACTATATGAGGCAGAATAAGATAGAAAAAGTGCCTAAAAGATAAACTCTCCTGCTTCAGGACATAAGTTACTATTCATGTGGATATGTAGACTAAGACAGATATATGGAAAAGCTATTTCTTATAGGATCACAGGAACCAACCAAGGGTCTGTCCAACCTGTTCTTGATAGTTTCCAAGAATGGAGATTCCACAACTTCTCCAAGTAGCCTGTTCCAATGTTTGAGCATCCTCATAGTCAGAAGGTTTCTCCTAATCTCCAATCTAAATTTCCTCTGCTGCATCTTGAGGCCACTGCTCCTTTCCATCCTTTCTGTAATCTCCCTTCAGGTATTTGAAGACAGTTATCAAATCTTCCCTCAAGCCTTCTCTTCTCTAGATTAAATAACCCCAATTCTTTCATCTTTTTCCTCATAAATCTTGCCTTTCAAGCCCCTAATAATTTTTGTGATTCTGCATTGGACTCTCTCTAAAATGTCTATATCCTTATTGAAGTGTGAGGGCCAAATCTGGACACAGTATTCCATGGGAGGCCTTACCAGTGCCGAACAGAGAACAACAATCACTTCCCTTGATTTGCAAGTGACACTCCTGTTAATACAACCCCGTTTATTTTTGGCTTTTTTTTTTGCAATGAGAGCACACTGTCAGCTCATATTCAGCATAGGGTTTATTATAATCTACAGGTCCTTCCCTAAAATACTGTATCCCAGCCAGTTCTTCCCCACTCTGTATTTGTGCATGCAATTATTCTGTCCCAAGTGAAGGCTTTTGCACTTGTCCTTGCTGAATCTCACTTGACTGACTGCTGATCATTTCTCCAGTTTATCCAGCTCATTCTGAATCCTAGCCCTGCCTCCAGATTGTCTTTAACTCCACCCAGCTTGGTATCATCTGCAAATTTGCTAAGCATGAACTCAATTCCATCATCCAAATTATTAATGAAGATGTTGAATGATACCAGACACAAGACAGACTACTACTGGGGAAACCATTTGATACCTCTGTCCAACTAGTTATTGAGCCATTAATGACTTCTTGTTGAGTACACAAGCTAATCTGTAGCATTGAGGTCTCCCAGCCAGACCCCACAATTCACAAGGGTCTCTGCATCAAGCCCAGCTTATCTCACACATTTCCCACCCAAAGCCCTGACCCAGGCAGGCTCCTGCTTAGCCCACCTCTCAGGAAAAAAAAAGTTGTTCATGGTTACATAGTTGACAGGACTAATTGTTTATTATTTGTTTCTTGCACCTTTCACTGAAGTATCTGGTCACTTGGAGACAGGATGCTGGACTGATGGATCAGTTTGGTCAAAGAACGCAATGAAAAAATTGTAACCAAAAGGTTACTTGACTAGGATTTTACATGTAAACAGTATATGGAAAAATGAAGCTTGCATTTTTGATTTGGGCCACTAGGAATTAATGTAATAAAAATAAATGAATTTTTAATTCATAATCTGTTAAAGCAATTGTTAAGCTTCTACTTAGGGGCCTGTTTGTTGTACAAGGTCTCTTTACTGCCCCTCTCAAATACATATTTAACATTAATATAGGGTTTACTTGCCTGGTCCAGCAATGGCTGCTAAAATGTCCAGAAGAAGATGTACCTGCCTTGGTGACAGGAACAGGTGTATAGAATCTATCTGTCCATCTACATCCAACTTAAGAAAAAAAAGAGAAACAATCTTTATAAATATTCAAAGTTAAAAAATATTCCTTAAGCTTCCCTCATCAGTTACTAGTCATTAAGTATTGCACAGAACTATTTTACATGGCAATGGGACTAAAATCATGAAACAAAAGCCTTGAAAGAAAACTCAGAAATATTATTAAAAAGTTAATAGTTATTTGTTTAATAATCCCTCAATGATGTCAATGTGAAGCCTATTTTATGGACTATGGAAAAGTATTAAAATTTCTTGCTTTTGGAACTGAACAGAATATCTAAAACCAGTAATAAAACATGATCAGACAAATACTGTTGAAATCAGCTGATATGTTATTCAGAGGCTCTCCTACTAGTGTTTCACAACATGAAGCTTGATAAGAATGTTGTGCTGTGTTCTCTTTAAGGAACAGATCACCAAGAGAAATGTTATATTGAACCCTCAACTCAAATCTTGAACTAAAGAGTTTTTCCCCTTGCCACCTTTAAATAATGGTCTAGAGTAGGTAATCTTTAGAACTCTAGGATGTAATAAAACCTGGCTGTTAGTAAATCTAGAGCTGATACTACAAGAGCTAGTAAAATCTTGTGACTACACATTTCACACCAAGTATATTTATAGTATCTTCCTATTCATCAACTGCCCATTGCTAAATAGACTTTGTATCCAGTACTTTTCTCAACTAAACAAACAGAAAGCTTTAAAATTCAGCTACCAGTTGCAAGACAACTTTCCCCATTGTAGAATCCTGAAGTTGTTTCTGCTCTATGTATGTTGTGTTTGTTGGTTCAACCTACTATATTCTATTTAAACTTTGAAATCTTTTCCCTCATTTTTCTCTTGTGTATAGATATTCGAACATGTTATAAACCCCAAATGTGAAACAATACATTGAAAAGAAGTTTAGAACCAATTTTATAATTAAAATGAATTAGAATTTTTATGTAGATATGGTTATCTCTCTACTTAAATGCCTATAAAATTGAAGTACTATGATTTTTTGGCCTTTATTTTTGTAAAATTAAAATAATATTTTAATTAATGTAATTTAAAAGTTACAATGATCAGATTGTAATGTTAACTTTAATCAAAAGTTGCAAGTGTACACATTCTCAAATGCATTTTAGATTAATTATGTACTAATCAAATTTAATCATTTTAAAAACTTCAAAATAAAGTGTTTCAAACCAGCCATTCAGACACTCCATCCTTTTATTATCATTTTAAAATCTGGTACCTCTATTACATGAAGGAAAAAAACAAACGGGTAACAACAGGACTTTCCATAAAAACAAACTAATCCTCTTAGAAATTACCGCAATACATGGAATTGAACCCGTCTCTAAGATAGAGACTCTTCTTATGAAACGTACATCAGTGTATCTATCACTTGTACTTTTGAAAGTAACTTAAATAAAACAACCAAATGATTTACTGTCACCTCTTCTACTGTTGCTTTAGGATTTGTGAGTATGAAAAGATCAGCATGCTTGTCTACTAAAGAAAATAAATCCCACGTACACATATCAGTCCAATTACTTAACTTTGAGTAACTCCCAAGGTAATTGCGCATTTGTAAACAGAACAAAATTGCACATGGTGCTTAGACATTTATTTCCATATATTTCACAATGCATTTCTCCATAATCTTTTCTAGTCAATGGTGCTTCATATTTTTAGATGCAGGCAATTTAATTTAGCAAAATTAAAAAGACAATACTACCAACTAAGGCCTTTCGAATTTTTGCAGGTGATAAACACACACACTTGCTTACCTTGTTAATTTAGTTAACTAACATAAAACCATGGCTGACCTTAGCTCCAGGAAGTACTTCATTTTGCTTTAAGGTAAGACTCAGCTCCATTCTCCCAATTAGCCTACTAATCTGTACAGGGTCAGAGGGAGGAACTTCTGGCAAGTTTCTTGTTAATTGTGGATGTGGCTCATATACAATTTTTGGGTTCCAGCTAGGTGAAAGCTTTGGTTCGGTTGCCTTTAAAATGCAAGGGGGAAAAAGGCAATTAGTCTGTATTCTATTCTTTGTCAAAGTAGTTTGCATATTTATGACAAATAAACCTAAAAAGCATAGAAAGGGCAAATACATTCACTTAACTAGAAATCTGACGCCTGCCCTGACAAACATTTATTAGCAAATTTGAAATAAATAAGCAGAAGCAATCACAAAGTGTTAAGCCATTTATAGGAAGTGATACAATCTTTTTTTAATAGTTTTTCCACAGTTCAGTTTCCAAACAAATTCCAGTGTTATAAGCCCCATTTTAACATTCTGTGAGTTTGCTCTTTAATACTTACCATCTTCCCTCCTACAGAATAGAATTATTTGATCAAAGAGGTTACCAGTATTTCTCCTACAAGTTCCCAAGGGTTGCTGGGCTCAGAAGTTGGAGAACTACTGATCAATAGGATTTAAGAATGCACTCACTGATCTACCAAAGCACTAATCTAAACAGAGTGCACTTTCTCTATACTTCTTTATTAGGCTTACTACATAGATACGTAAGCATACAACATCTTTCATCCTTAACTTTACATCTTTATATAATTTATTGAATTTTACCAACTGCGTAGCTGAACACACTGGTGAGGACTTTGCTGATGCAGGAAACTCATCCCAGAAGAAAGAGACGCCTGAGAGCTGAAGTAACTTGTGAGCAAATGCTGTGGGCTGATGTACATTAATTCCAGAGCATTCATCAGCAGTTTCATCACAGTACATAGTTCTGAGAGACAAAAGCAAGGAAATAAGGATGGAAGGGATGGCATGCAAATGTTCTACCTTATATCGCGCCATTTAGCCTCTGTTCTAAGTTTAAATGTGTTCCTTCTTTTCAGACTATTTACAATGCTGCTGATTGTCCCAAAAGGAGGAATCACTACTCTCTGGGAACTTGAACTTCTAGAAGGACACTGTTACATACAAGTTACACCACATTTGAGGTGAATTCATCCTACAATGGATTCTTAATACTTGCTGTGCAACCTTATCTCAGAGTTAAGGACTCTGCTTTATGTTCTTTTTTATTTGTTTCCACCTGTAAGCATGTTCCCTTGCCTCAGAACTTAAGAACGTTTGTAAGTGGATGAAATAAGAACAGAAAAAGATGTCTGAAGTCTTAATGAACTATTTCAACATAACACTTTCTTTTATGTCTAAAGGATTTTTGTTTGATTAAGCAGAAAATTGACAGACCTGGAATTAAGCTATATTTAGCATACACCCAAAATTCACTTATCTTTATTTTTGAACTCACACAAAATGAAATTTCCTCTAATAAAATATGTCTGCATAGCCTAAACCTTGGAACAACGCACACTTAAAAACAAAGTTAAACCCCAGAAAAAGAAAACCTGCAGTAGGAATAACCATTTCCTTTTTTTTCCTTAGTACCTCAAACACTTAAATCACGTTTTCTTAAAACACTGTGTAAGCATAGCTTTTTAGTACATAGAGGGTTATATTTTTGGGAGGTGGGGGAGGTGAAGAACTAGGCAGGCTGGATAGTTGCTTTTACTGCTAAGCTCTCTCTTTGACTAGACTCAGCAAGTCTTAAGTTAGTAACTTTTCATTTGTTTGGGAACTCTAAAACATCAGCATTTCAGTATAAGTAACAGCAGTGTTATAAGGGAGTGATTGTTATACTGCGATAACATAACACCACCATTTAATTAAATTAAGCCATAGATCAAATATGCTAAATGAATATCTTTGCAACATCTGCAATTCACAAGTTATATTGCATTGGACCTGGCTGGTTCTGCCATCTTAAGAAAGAGAACAAATAATAAAGATTTTGTAAAACATTTGCAGGTTTTTGACTTTTTTCTTAAATGAATAATGACTTGCAAAAGTTCAGTGTCCAAAAACTGAGTTTTTTAAAGACCCGAGTTCCCCCTTCAGACCACTCTTTGTAACTGCCTGAGTTAACAACAGATGCTGCTGAGTGCTGAGCATTTAAAAAAAATCTGCTCACTCAGCTGCCTCAGTGAGAACTATATAGTAGGCCTGTGCAAAAATCTGGTCGCTGATTAGATTCGGTGGAGATTTGGCCCGATTCGGCGGCCGAATCTGAACTGAATCAGGAAACCCTTTACTGTCTCCAAATCAAATTGGAACCTTCCGAATCAATTCAGAGAAATTCAATGATTCAGACATAGACACAGCTTTAAATGTTTTTCTACATATCTCAAGGTACCAGGTGGCTCATGAATGCTGAGATGCTGGGGTGCATGGAATACCCCATGGGAGTGTGGGGGTATCCCCAGCATGCTCGGCAGCAGATCCGGAAGTGGACCAGAAGCACTTCCAGGTCCACCGGGAACCCCCCAGCTCAGTGACTGGTGCCTCCTGGGTCTGGGGGGGCACCAGGGTCCCCCCACGGCCGATCACCAAGCCAGGGACAGGTGAGGGAGGGTCCCCCCATGCACTAGATGGTGGACCCTGAAGTGGACCAGAAGTACTTGGTACCTCGAGGTATGTAGAAAAAACTATGGTCGAATCAGCATTGAATCTTCAGATTCAGATTTGGCTGAATTGAATCTGGACAGTGATCTGAATCAATGTATCAAATCACTATCCCCGAATCAGGCCGAATCCAACTCCAAATCGAATACAGCCCGTTTCAAACACCCCTACTGTAAAGCACTATTATCTTTTGTAAATCTGGAAATGTTCTGAAGACTGCAATATGAATAATCTTGATAAAAAGTGGGTTGGAAAGAGTTTACCAAAAAATTTATCACATTAAAATTAAACAGCGCAGATGATGTGAACGGTGCTCTACTGTATAGGGAGATATGTATAAGAGTGATACAGCTTCCTTTTTGTTTTCCACATAGATCTAAGTTGTAAAAGGAATATTACCTTTCTATTCGGATTTCAAGTGCAGATCCACTTTTAGAATTTTCTGGCACATGTTCAATTCGCAAAACAGTATCCAAAAAGGTAACTTTCACTCTTCTTAGAACTGCAGTGAGAAAACAAGATGACAATATAGGTACAAAACAAACATACAAAATCAGTGAGACACTTTGCCAACTTAAAGAAGAAAAGGAACATTGTTTCCTTTTCTTCATATGTTTGAAACCTGATACTTATTCATTGGCAGAGTTATAATTATATTTTCATATAATATCAAGATTTCAAATGAGAATCTTGATTTCTACTAACAACCTTCTGTTTCTTTCAATTAGATATTCATAAAACTCAAGTAGAATCAAGACTAAAACTAGTATCATGCTGCATCAAGGTGCACAATGTATTTTTCTTCAAATAAAAATAGTACAGAAGGCTCTTCTAGCAGTTTTTTTCATTTTAAGTCTACTAACCTTAATATTGATCTTGTCGTCACAGGTAGCGCTGAATTGGTACTGCCAAAACCAAGGTATCTTTTAAGTCAATGAAAATTACTGTCCAGACTTATACCAGTATTAGGCATATAAAACTTGGCCTCGATAAAGGTCCTGCTCAGCAAAATGTAGGAACAGGTTTTTTTTAATAGTAGTTTTATTTTCTTTAAAATAAAAGTACAAGTCTTATCCTCTCCTCCAGTTTGTAAGGGTGCACCAATAGAGACTTTCAGCCAATACAGATAGCCAATGTTTAAGAAGGCATATTGGCCAATACCGATCTGATTTCTGATACGCAGCTCGGCAGCTTGAAGAGCAGTGTCCAGCTAGTACGTCTGTTGTGGTGGAAGGGAAGGGTAAAGGGAAGGGTGGGGTGGGCAGGCACTGCCCATCCAGGGTGAGGCAGGGCACAGAATGGAGCTTCAGCTCACGTGAAAGGCATAAGGGGGGGATGGCAACAGCTCCCACCCTGCATTCACCCTGGGAGGGCATGGGGGGGGTGTGCCCCCAGATTTGTGTGGGGCAAGGGTGGGCTGCCGCTGCAGGCTGTCAAGCTCTTCCCGGGTGGGGGCTGGGCCAGGCTGTGCTTGGGATGGACAGTGGCAGTGCTGGGAGGTGGGGGCAGCAGCCAGTTGAAAATTCACTGTTGCCTCCCCCAGCCCCACCACCTGCCCTGCCCCCCACCAGGAAGAGCCCAGTGCATCCCAGCCCAAGGGGCACATGCTCCCTGTGCTCCGTGACCCCTGGACGAACCGTGGCTCTGTCCCATGCCACACCCCGGCTGGGCAGCACCTGCCCCTGCCCCTAGGCCAGCCCCACTCCCCCCCTCACTGTGGAGGCCTTGATCTGCTCCCCCTCATGCTCCTTCCCTCCCCCATCCCCTTCTACCACAACAGACTTACCAGCCGGACACAGCTCTCCAAGCTGCTGGGCTGTGGTCCTTACTGCCTATGTGCTGCATCACAGCTGTGTGCATGCATCAGGTATTTATTGGCCACACTGGGGGAAAAAAGCTGATTTCTGATACACTCAATTTTCTTTATATCAGTGCCGATCCAATATCGGACCTATGTATTGGTGCACCTCTACCAGTTTGTAATGGTAGGAGGCAGGGTCTCTGCTAACAAGTTGTAGAAGCCATAGCAAGTGAGTCACGCTTCTGTAATACTGTAACATGGTGGGATTTGATTTAATGTAACCCGAGCTGTTCATTTAAAAGTCACAGTAAGGCATACCTGTTTCAATAGTTTCTGCAAACTTCTCAAGCCCTTCAAAAGGCTGAGATCCTTCTCCTTGTTCATCTGTCAATTTTTGACTCAGACACTCTTTTGCAAGTTGCATGCTGCTGGTCATAAAGCTTGACCAATACATAGGCTCAGACCCAGAAGCTGCAGAATAAAGTAATTCTTAATTTGGCTGTAGAAGTTATAAACACAGCAAAACAGATGATACAGCTAAATTAGCTATCTTCAGGGACCTACCCAATGAAATATTGTTCTGTACCTACCTTGGTCCTTGTTTAGTCTAGAATATAACATTTGATATTAGCAGGTTAGCTAAAACAAGTTAATGTGTTTTAGAAGTATAAAATGGAGCAAGCACACTGCCTTTAACAAAAGCTGCACCACTCAACCTTAAAAGTTTAATGCATCTTTTCTTCACTAGGCTTTTAAAACACTCTTAACATCACATTTTTAAATTTTAGTCTGGAGAAACCTTAGATGGAAGTTAATATTGTTACAATCATGTGAAGTGGTAGAAGTTCATCCTAACCTAACCAGCTGCCAGAAGATAATCAACAAAGGTTCAGTGCTACCACCTAATTCAGTGTAATGTTAGTATACATTAAATGGAGACCAGGCATATTACTTAAGTATAAAAAAGGGAAAAAACAGCAGCTACCCAAATAAAGCCAACCTGACTATAAATATGCTGCTTCTACTCTCAGTCACAACTGGTATTTCATATGGGGTCAGGTATCTAAATCTTTTAAGAAAGATATCAATATATATATTTCCTCAATTATATAGCTTTGTGGAAGAAAAAAGCAAACAAAATAACCCCACCAACAAAAGGAGGCGATTTCTAATAGGGGAAAGAAAAAGCACAAGCAGTGACAATTCCTTCCCTTTGTCTCCAAGAAACAGTGGCTCTCTCTTTCCAAGTGAAGAAATAATGTAAAGAATTACTGATTAACTGATTTCCAAATAGTCATTATTTTTTGCTTAAATACTAAATTCTAACACCAATATGAAGGTCATTCCACTTATCTGGTCAGTCCTATTACTCACTTATTCTTGTAAACTGTTTAGCTTAAGGCCTTGTTACATGGCAATTATGGACAGCTCCTGGGGTTCTTAACCCCTGGATTGTCCACACATTAACACCTGAAACTAGTTTTAATCACTCTTTAGATACCTTAAAGTTATGCCACTCCAGCCTAGGTTTCCCTCTGATCCATGTTACCCATGTTACATTAACTTGTGGCCACTCTAGGTTACACATTTGTATAAACATTCCTCCACACTTCCCCCACTGGCCCAGACAGAGCCCACTGCCCCCCCCCCCCCCCCCCCCCCCC